CCGGCACCCACACCCCACACCTACTCCCGCACCGGCACCCACACCCTCCAGTTATGAGTCTCAGCCGATGAGAGTGATACCAAGCTGAGCGATTCCGGATCCGTCCGATACCCGGAATTAGATGCAGTTATAGGCCTCAGCCGATGAGAGTGATGCCAAGACTGAGCGATTCCGGAATCGATAGGAACTGTTGTAAATGATTCCGGAATCGGATTGTGGGGTGATTGAATTTAGTTCCGGAATCGATGGAATAGATTCCGGGACGGGAACTGATTCTGGAATGTTCAACATCGCGGAATGGGATGTATTCTCATCATTTTATAGACCTGTGAAACTTTTCTGAAGGTGTGAATACGCCATTAACATTTCTGTTTCTCCGCTTTCTTTTATACCCAGACCAAAAATAGATGGAAAAAGTTAGAAGTTGATTGATATTATGAAGTTCAAACAGATATAATGGTTTTTGTCAAAAAAGAACAAAAACAAGGTCCCACTGAGTGTGTTAGTTTTTCTACAAATGTGTATACATATATAGATTTTGTTGGCTACGTTCATTTGTCTAAAAAAGCGAATGAAAACAGTTTCTTGTGATTGTCGTACATTGATTCCTTCTAATTGTCACTTTAAATGTTTCTCTTTTGATCTGATACTTGACGCTGATCTTCTATAACATTCAAGTTTATTAAATCGTTCGTGATATCAAGAAAGCCTGTTATCAACACTAGTCACCTTTCTGATGATATTTTTTTCTTATTAAGATAAGCAATTTTATAATTTCTTCAGAGAATACGCCGAAAAAAAATCAAAAAGATTTACTCGCATCTGAAGAAGTCAGTTGTGTCTATATTTCTTTGAGTTGTAGCAGTTTTCGTGGTTTTCTAAAATTAGATTCAGCTAGTTTACTTTCTTTCAAGTAGCTTCACGATATTAGGCTTTATAATAACACGTATACTGTTAATCATGACATAGAAGCTCATTTGCTTATTTGATTGCGCTTTTAATGAAGAGAGATGGGGCATCAATGTGCAACGTTTTTGTAGCTGAGACGCGGTTGAAACACCATATACCAGGCACACTGGACGTGGTTAGAATGAAACCTCTACCGCTTCGAAATGCGTTTCCTCGGGTTCACTCACGTTGAAACACATGACGCTTTTAATCATAGATATTCTTCATCGCAGGATGATGTGAGCAGCAGGAATTTTAAGATGAAGCATAAATATTTGTGCTTGTTCTAAGTCTTTCTGCAATTATCACAACTAATACAGATAATACTATGACAATATTCAATTCGCCTTAAGGAGGGCCCCCTTAGAAAATCGAATTTTTCAAGGGAATATCGAAGTTGAGTTTTTATCACAAGAAGATGCGGCGAAGCTTTCTCTTTCAGAATATATATAGCTTTTTGGAAAATGACCAGATTTTCAAAGACTTATCATATAAAACTTTGACTCTACTACCATATTTTCGGAGAAATTTTCAGGTGTTTCAGTTTTGAAAAAACTGCGTTGTCACTTGCATTAGCATTGAGTAGAACACTTTTATATTACCCAGCATGTCAGATGGCGGTAGTTACCTTCATCTCTTACGTAGTCTAAAACGATCCACTGGAATGAATTAATAATATACCATTGTAATATGATTTTTTCTGGATTTGAATGAAAAAATCCAGTTCTAAAATTTCTTTAGCGTTTTTCTCAAAATACGGTTTCCAGACAGAAAAATTGGAATAACTCCATCCTGTCTCAAGCTATAACCAATAATTTTTTTTCTTTTAAAGGTCTTAATGAGAGTAAATTTTTGTCCGAACGAATTTTTTATAGTTGGTTCCTGGACTGAGAAAAGTGGGATTTACTGTCGTTGAGCCACCATTTTTTATGCTAATTTTTAAGACCATCCCACTAAAATGCTCATAAAAAATGAATGAGATTGAATTTCAAAATTCTGTTCGAACAAAAGTTGCATACTCACATTGGCTTTAATTTGACACCAACCCGAGCTCTCTACCCTATCTTACGACGACGTTATATCGATTCTCCTGAAGGCCAAAAATGACCTGTGAATCAGCTGGAAATCCGGTCTAGTGCAACCAGTCGATCTGAAATTTTTACCAGAAGCGTATCTCTCCAAGATCACTCATTCCTGAAAATTTCAGCCCAAAAGGACCATCTTAAGTGGAAAATCTTTTCTGAGGGGGGGGGGCGGCTTAAGTGACAATAGGTTCCACATCTTCACAATCAATATATGCAGTCTAGATCTATAAAAGCTGTCTAGAACATGAAAGTCACATTATTCCAACTATAAACTAATCACTGCTGATCCCGATTTACCTATTACTCGATGCTTTCGTGAAGTTAACTCTATCTTAAAATTGATTCCAACAAGTTCTTAGGTAAATGTACTGGTTGGAAGTGTAAAATTCTTTTATAAAGGAACATTGAACTCCTTAATTTCTCCGCTCACCCTCTCCGCTAAAGAAATAGTGAGCTTTTATAATAACCATGAAAATTGAGATAAGTCTGTAGAAGTATAGTTCGAAGGTCTGCTCTTTCAAAAATGATATGGTTTTGTACTTGGTCTATTTCTTTTTTGTAAAACTTTTCATGATTTCTGCCGCTCTTACTTGAAAAATCAAAGTCTTTTTCGACTTTTCTCGATTTGGGAGTTTTCAATCACAGGTCCCAGAGTTCTCGAAGGAGCTTTATTTTAGCCAATAGATATTTTCTGATAGAAAGAGTATGTTAAAGTGCGCGGTATGAAACAACTTTCTTTGTTGATTATATTTTGTTATTGGTGTATAAAAGAGCAATTATATTTTAAAAACGACATTCTTTGAGAGTTTTCCGAGATCTTGGAAATTCTTCTCTTTTCTCCACTAACAGAGTAAGAATTAAAAAGGAGGCTCGATCATGCCTTTCATCTTAGCATACTCTTTTGATCAAAAACAATCAAGTCGTTACAATGAAAATTCACAGAATATTTGGGGTTACGAAATGTGTTACTTTTAATCCTTATTTATTGAATATCTTCCAAAAACATAATATAGAACTGAAAATTCTACCATAGCCTCTTCAGAACAGTCGCAAAATAGCCTGAAAGTTTCATATTGTTTGGATGTTCCTTGGCCAAGGTCACTTTTTGAGGGGGAAGCTTAATGATTTTATATATTGAAATTCAGATTATTTGAAAATTTTATATTTAATTAACATTTTTCAATGCATATATATTCACAAATCTGTAATTCTTCATGCTCGGTTATTTATTAAAGCTCAGACGCTGGCAGCAAAATATCTTCAGATGGTCAATATGTAAATGAATCCGATACGAATGCGATCGGATTGTATATGCTCAGGTCAAACAATCAGACAGTAAGATCTTACAAGATCGTACCTCTGATCTTGTACGATCTTGTGAGATCAGATAGGAATTGTACAGAAAATCGTCGTCTCAGAATTCTGTTGATCCGTCTTATTATAAGGTTCTTTGCAGATGACAAGATCCTACGTCAGATTTTCTGACTTGGGTAAGTAAACAAGAATCGATTGTTGGATCCGATCAGATTCGGTATCGGATTTCTTCACCTGGGTAAGTAGCCTTTATATTAGATTTCAACTTTAATCACACATTAAAATGCTCGTAGAGCGCTGTAAAACAGATATGCTTCAGGCAGAACCAAAAATAGTGTATATTGGAACTGGATTCAGAACTAAGATCGGGTCCTTTTTTTATTAGTTATTTCAAAATTTTCTACATGAAAAAATCTACCTCAAATCGAGGAGTATATCCTTAAATTCTAGGTAGAAGTCGAACCATTTTAATTTAAAATATATTAGGATACGATAAAAATGCACAGAAAGAGTTAAACGATGAGAATCCTTTAAGAGGCTAACTGTGAAAATCAAAGAAGATAATTACTACTTGATCGCAATGAGTTTATATTGTGAAAATGACGTTCTATATATGTATGAATGAACATAATAGAAATCCCTCATGATGATAAATAATATAGGAAGAATCCAAGTAACTAAAAGAATATGAAAGGTAAAATCTCACATGTGATAATACAGAAGACACGAAGGGAAAAGTCTATATGAGAGGAAAGATGGAAGAAATGAACGCGTTGTGAAAGAAAGATGAACTGGAATCGAAATATCACCGGGTAGATTATGATCACCCCGTGATAGAAAGAAAGGTTAGAAGCCTCAAGAACGCGGGGAAAAGTATACACGTGAAAGGGTCAACACGAAAATTTAGAATGTAATTTTTACCAAATAAATTTTAGGATCTAGTGGAAAAAGATCACGAATGAAATTAGAAAAAATTTTCAGTCACAATCAGAGCTGGGAATTGGACTATAAGGAAATATGAATTGATATTCAGATTTGATCCGGGGCTGCAAAAACAATGTGGTTCCGTATTCCCTTAATACAACTCTGTAATAGATTATTTTCGAAAACAGATTTTTAACCGAATTATTAGTTATACATTTTAGTTTGAAATTTGTTTTCATTAAGTATACTTCGAGATCATAAGTATTCTATATATTTATTCTTTTAGAATGGCTGAATCGGGTTCCACTTCATTTGTTTTTCGATCATCTATCTAATATATAATCACGGAGTATTCAGCTAAATGTATTATGAAATGTGCTTTCTCATCTTTGAATGTCAAAGATACTAAACGAGTTAAGCTTTTTATTAATTGAAACAAACAAATAATGGATGTTTCAATAAGCAAACTATGTCCTGTCTGTACTACAAAAAACATTATATTTTTTTGTCAAGAGAAGAGCTGACTTTTTAAATCTTTAGTTAACTTTAAATCAAAATTTTAAAAAATCTGATTTCAGCTGCTTCCCCCTAGTACAGATCTCTCATTCTTAGCAGATCGTTAGCACTACACGAGTACTATAGCTGATAAAAAAAAATCATATTTTTCTGATAGATTACAGAAATACCATCATAAAAAAAAAGAATTAGGATACCCAGTCAGACTGATCATCCCCATATATATAGACAACAGCATCATCTGTGTTCAAATGACATTATATTGACCCTCAACAACGACTAAAAACAAAGGACATTTCTCAAGAACATGCCGTCTAACACTTGGTCAAACACTTTTTTGCAAGGATATTCTCGACTGCTATCCTCATTCTCTGAGGTTTACATGATGTTTTTGTCCGTTCATGCTATTGATATGGTCAACGACTATAGCGACAGCACGAGCGATCCGTTTGTAAAAATGGCCATCAATCCAATCTAAATGAGAATATACGAGGCTAAAATCACTACAGATATGACCATGCTAGCCATAATTGCCGTCATATGTATCCTTATTGTAATCATTTATGCTATATTTGTATCGGTTCTTATACAAACGTTTGCTCATTTGGAGCACATTTGTAGTTCTTCAGACTTTATGCGTACGCATATGAGCCATAGTTGTCATATATTTCTTGAATTAGAGAGACAAACGGATATAAGTGGTCTATTATTTCTAGTCTGTTACACCAGTCTAGGCTTGAGTGAATCGACTCTTGATAAGAGTATTTTTGTTCTACTTGTCGTCGTAAAACGAATTACGAACCACAGTATCATGAAGGCATTGTTTTTAATATTCTATGCATATTATTAAGTTTTAACGCTAGGATTTGCCCAAATAGTGTACATAGATTTTATCATATGTTTTGAGAAGGCGATCTAGCAATCGTACTCTGTGATTGAGGCTCGTTTATGATCACTGTGTCACGGTTATGCACATCTCCGATGCATAATAGACTCCATATATAATTGTGACGCGGCTGTTAAAAACGATGCGATAATACGCGAGGGTGTGGATATTCCTGAGCTATAAACAAAAGATTTATATTCACATCAACATTGAAACGTTTTTTTTTGTGTCACACAGATAGAAAACCAATAACTCCAACTATTGTACCATTTGGCACCGGGTTCGGGACGACTACAACAACTGCATTAACATCAACAACGACAAACCCATTCGGGGCGACAAATACATCAGCGAGTAGTTTATTTGGTTCTACAACAACATCAACAAGCATCTTTTCGTTTTCTACGCCAATAACATCAACTGCCTCATCTTCTCCATTTGGTTCGTCACCAACAACAACCATTAAAAAAAAAATAAGCAATAGATTGATACTCTAAATTGATAATTGATTTAGTTGAGAAATTTTATTTTTTTCCCTTTAAAAATAAAAAAGAAGAATCTATGATTATAACATTCCCAGCCAAGCCCCTAACACAGCATTATCCATTTCCTGTTGAATATACATGTTACCCCACACTTGTACTTTTATGCATGCTGTACTTAGTATTATCTTCATCATTAACTTATCATGCATATCTTTCTCATCATCAGATTATCCTGATCTTTCTATCTTTGTTCTTATATCTTTACTATTATCATTTTCTCTGTCCTTGAATAAACCATTTCTCTTTTGGCGTCCGTTTGTGATAGTATAAAAGGGACACTGAAAATTGTAACGGATGCGCGATTTCTGCTTTCTTAGTAAATAGCAATAAGCATGATTGTATCTACGTCTTTTCAGAAATCGTTAGAATGTTTAAATGCAGAAAATAAAGTCTCTCAACTGAATCAATTATCTATTGCTTACATTGTGTCTAATTATAAAATTAAAAATCCATGCGTTTATATCTCAACATCAATATTTAGTATAGTTTCTACGGGAGTCAAAGTAAAAAGCAGTTTAATATACACTTTTAAGTAGTTTGAAGTAACATTTTTTTGTTTCTTATATTATTTGATAGAGCACTCCATGCTCTATCAAATAATGTAGAAAAAGAAGCAAAAAATTTTTACTCGAAGTTTCAATTATTTTCGTCTTATTTAAAAACGCCCACTTATAAGTACTTTTTACATTTGTTTAAATAATCATGAAAGCACTCAATAGTAATTTTTTGAGACCACAATTTCTGTAGTGAAAGAACCAAATCTTCTCATCCATTTGATAGACGGCTCTGTACAGCTGCGACAACAGCAACTAAAACAACATTAGCATTCAACACTAAAATATTTGGTTGTTTGACAATCTCAACTAGAGGTAGATATGAGTTGTCATACCCAATATTTATAGTGCTGTCCACAACCATTCATCTAGACATGTTTAGTAATCTTTACTTTCTTCTCCGAAGCTAAAAGAAGGCGAACAAACTGAGGTTATGGAAACAGACGATCTTCTGTTCCTTTTGACATTGAATTTAGCAATCATGATTTATCAAGTTTACAAGAGACTGAATCCAAATTTTCAACATGAGAAAGTGGGACATCTATATGTAACAAAACAATACCATAAAAATAATCTTAAAGCAATGTTTCGTTTTCTGAAGGATATCTTAAAAATTACCAATGTGGGCGTGGGTATTCGTGGGTCTGAAAATAAAGGTAGCAAGATATTTTAACTAGTTCATATAAAAATTACAAATGAATCGGATAAATACTTTTTTCTCTGTTGACATCTCAATCATGAAAACACATGACAAATATAAGTCATACACTGCTCGAAAGATGAAAACATTTCTCATCAACTGATAAAAAAATATTCTCGTCGAAATATGTTTATCGAACAATTAGCAAGGTATGACGAAATTTGGCCATCTGAATTTCGGCAACGTTAAAATTTCACCGAAACTTCGCCAATAATGTCGAAATTCTTACGGATTTTCGACAATAATAATTATTAATGCAAATTTTATTGCCTATTTTCCGTCAGAAATTTGACAATATAAGTACCATTTATAGCTTATATATACGACAGAACTGCAGTTTAATTACATTTGAAGTTAATTTGAGGGTATATAGGCGAATGTGTAGAGCGTGAGGTATGCGAGAGGGGGGACGGGCGGGTATATCTTTTTGGGGACGTGAATGTCGATGTCTTGCATGGGTACACGTATGAAATACCGTACAATTTGATGTGATCTACATTCAGAATCACAATCTTTAAGAGTATGCACTGCGTATCCAAAAATTTTCGATTTTTTTGGCTTTTGTTCTTTTTTTGTTCATTTTATAGTCTTAAGTCGTATCGATGTATTGATCACATTTTTTGGGGGAATTTACTCTACTAATGTCGAAAGTAAAAGTTGCAACGAAAATATCGACAATAATAAGTAGAAATTTTGAAGTATGCAGATGTTGAAAATGACAGTATATACAGTACCAAACATGATCATCCTTATCCACATTCTCACTCACCATATTTTGACTTTCTTTGAAGAATCAAAGATGAACAATAACCAAAAAAAATGTCGACCACAAACAGGAGCTAGGTCTTAAAAAGAGAACTCTCAACTTGGTAGAACATAATATCTTAGTGGAAGTGAAGCGAAAATTAGGGCAGTTTTAGTCAATTGTGAACTCGGTATCTCAAATAAACCAGTATCCAAAAAACCTTGTGTTTATAATAATTTTTGCTCTACACATAAAGATCTATATGTATTAAAAATTTCAAAATATTTATGATAAAGAGTTCTCTAGAAACTTCAAAGAGTGAGCATGCTATTGAAGAAAAAGAAGAAATAAAGAACAAAATGCGTGCATACGAGGAGTGTAATCTAATAATAATAAATCATGACTTTGATACGATGTTTATAAAGGTCTAAGTGATTGAGTATAATTTGATCTATTGTGAATATTATTGAAATTCCGATGAAAAATGGACAATAAAATTTACATTAATAATTATTATTGTCGAAAATCCGAAGGAATTTCTACAATATTGGCGAAGTTCCGGTGAAATTTAGAAAAATTCCGAAATTCCACCGGAATTTTAACATTGCCAAAATTTAGATGGCCAAATCTCGACTGTCCAAACTTCAGAGAACCATTACGTTGTTTCATTTACAAATGAGTAATAAAAATAAATTATATAGTATTCGAGAGTGAAGAAAAAGTTTTATCTTTTGGTTAAGAAAGTTTTCGTCCGGATAACAAAAGATGAATAGACTACTTCCTTTTTACTGCGGTGTGCACTTTACAGCTAATGAAAAATGAGAAAGTGAAGAAACAGAGTTACCTTTGTTCTTATTGTAGGATGTTTATTACGCTACACCGTCATTTAACTCTAGATAAATCATATAGAGCATGACTTCATATACAAGAGAGGAGAGACAAGCAAGATGAGAAATAGGAGCAAATGGAAGATTAGCTGAGTAAAAAGCTCTTATAGTTTATGAATTCAGAACATCTAGCCATATAGTGACCGAATATTCTCATGCCAATGAATCGATAGAAGATACACATAGGTCATTACCTTCTTATCAACATAGTTAGTGCCTTTTAATGAAACAGAAATAGAGATTAACATTTTCTACCATTAATTTTGCATCATACGTTACTTTTACAATGGTCTGTCAAAAATTTTATTTGTTGTAACTTCTTTGGAAACATTCTGTTGTTCAAATGATATTACAAACCCATTCATCTATCGCAGTTTTCTCGCCATATTGATTTGCTTTTGTTGGAAATAAGAAAAACACAAGAATATCTGTGTGAAAATTGGTACGAGTATGAATCTATTACTCGCTTACGCTCATCCTTGAGAAGAGGAACAAACACGCTAGCTAGCCTTGTACGATACAAATGAATTTTAAATACGATCGGTTTTCAAAATTCACCCCTATCGTTTCTAACGAATTATGGTAACCATGCTATAAGATGTAGTGGTATTTAACTGAGATTTCAACCTGATCCAGTAGCAATTAAACAGAAAAGATATTTCGGAAATTACTGTTTCATCTTTCTGAAAATATATCCCATTGAATCGAAACTTTTGATATTATCTGACTTTTTTATCATTCTGTAACTAGATATTATTGGACCCAAAAATGATGCATGTTGGTTTTTAGGAGAGACAATTTTTTCAACGGCAAGTCTTCCTCGAGCATCAGGAAATGTTGGTACTATGCACTCATTTATTGCTACTTCTGGAACCGATATAATGAGAACTGGAGGCTACAATCCCATAAGGATTGAAACCAAACTTTATAACATTTGTGCAATGAATGTTTATGAAAAGAAATCCATGGAGGTTTGTTTTTCTATTACAAATAATATGTAGCAATAGTTAAAACGATTTTTAAGGAATTACGCTTCGAAGACTACTTAAGCAATCGGAAGTTTGGAATCAATACTGGCTTCTTCTTGTATTCATCGGCACCTTCACAGTTTGACTATTCAATGACAAAACGAGAAATAGTGCGAGCAAAGCGTCGCTAAGCCACTACTAAAAGGGTATTATGACATTAAACTTATGGCAAACGAGAATGTGTGGGTATGGGTGTGATTTACTAGTCATGTAAAAACATACTTTGAAAGTTTTCTCGTGAGAATTCAAAATGCATGTGAAAAATGTTGTATCACTAATCTGAAAGACATAAAAAAGCTTGTTAGCGCAGCTCCTTTCGGACTGAAATGTGAAACTCACATGTCTCTGATAGCTTAATTACACTTATACAGAATACGCAAAGTGTTTATCGATTGTCAGCAAACGCGATCTTTTTTTATTTGTATATTTCGAACAAAAATTTTATTTTCTCTTTTCTTGTCTGCCCTAGTGAATGTACTGAGCAAAGGGTACCCGAAAAAGTACCCTGCTACTAGTATGTCACAGGAACTTTCGGGTACTAAAGTACCTTAAAGTACTTATAGGTACGTATAAAGTACTCGACCAAGTACCCTGCTGGAAAGCATCCAGTAAATGGGTACTTGAAGGTACTGACCAAGTACCCAACCGGGTACTATTGTTCAGTAATTCTGGGTACCCTGTTGCCAAACTTGCAGTATGTTGATGATCGAAACTAACCTCAGGCTTTTTTTCATTTTTATTTCTCTCAAAGCAATTTATGATATTTTTTCGATTTTATTTAATTTAATTTTTCCAATTCTGAAAAGTCAAGCAGGTCAAATTTCGAAATCTGACCGGACGCGAATTGGTCGAATCTCCATCAGACTACTTCAAGGTAGTCCTCCCTCAATCCACGATTGAGATCAGCATGTCCTCGACTAGTAAATAGTCAAGAAAAATAATCTAGAAAAAATTAGTATGAAAAAATATTTTTTTCTTATGCTTCCTCGAGTTGCTTATATGAA